CTTTATTGACTTATGATCATAATCCATAAAAACATATTTTTCCAGTAAAGGGCTTTTTGTGTTCAGAGGTGGGAATATGCCCTTTCTAAGAAAGACTTAAGGAGAGAGCAATCTCTAGGAATTTCATATGACTTTTTTCTCAACATAGCAAGTTTTTGGGATAGGATAGAACATACAGTTGTTCCAGGGCTATTTATAATTTTAAAGAATCTCCTTATGGTAATTTACTGCTGGAGAGTTTTGACATCTTTTAAGACTCCTCTAAGTAGGCTGATCTAAAATAGAAAGCTTTGCTGTGGAACTTCAGTACCAAAATCAATCTGCCCTCAAATTCCATAGTTTGTGTGTATTTATTATGAATGAGAGTCTGTGAAAAAGGTGACTATGCTTTTTTAGTTTTAGTGATTAAATTTATACAGTATGTTCCTATTTCATTACATATTTATACACTACATATAATGTATATATAAATATATGCATTTCACCATTATATATATTATATGTGTACAGATACAAAAAGTAAGATAAAGTCCTTCTCTTTCAGTAGTTGCATGCTTTAGGCCCAGGCATTGTGTTTCTTTTTAAGTACCCTCAAATTGAAAGCACTGCATTCTGAAACAAACCTGTGAGATAACCAATTTTTAAAAGGATTAAAAGATTGATAACCCCATCTGTTAAGTCATAGACCTTGGATTTTTCTATTTCCATTGGTTCTATGCTGGTTTTTCTTGTTTATTATAAATGTATAACTTTTATATAAATTAAAATAGGGAGCAGGAATTTGGGAACCTTGGGTGGAAACACTCAAATCAGCTCCTCCCATACGTCAAGATATGATGTTTAATGAAATAATTGTGCCAACTCTGGATACAGTTCGATACATGGCATTGATGGAATTGTTGACAGTGCATCAAAAACCTTCTATATTTGTGGGGCCAACAGGAACTGGAAAAAGTACCTATATTACTGTAAGTACTTTTAATACTGACATTAAACATAGTTATAAAAGGGGTAAGATGAGGAAGAATTTGATAACTTTTTTTTGATAACAAATCATTGACAACTGTTTTTTAAGTTACCAGTGTGCATTTTTATATTGAAAGAGGCAAGATATACCTAGTTCTGAGTGTGCGTAATGATAATCAAAACATGACAAGTGATAAGTAATAAAAACATTTAATGTAAGTAATGACTTAGTACAGACAAATGCAATATATTTCCAGAGCTTGTGAAATTATAATCAAAGGCAATAATAATCTTGTAAAAAGCATTGTAACTTCATGTATTAGAATAAGAAATCAAGACAAATTAAAATTTTTTTTTTTCCATGTTTCTGTTTAAAGGGAGAAGTAAGACTGAATAATTGAAAAGAGATTGTATTATCTTTTTGAAATAATTGAGTCATTGTTATTTTGGGATAAAGTAGTTCCTTTTTTTAATCTTCAGTCACCAAGTGATGCTTTGTTCATTTTAATTTTGTCATGTGGTTATTAAAATAACAATATGGGTAATATAGAAAATTATTCTAATGGTCTAGATTAAAAATTTTGGATAAATTTTAATTCTTCAGGCAGATCTGACAGATACTATAGGTTAAATTCTGATACCTTCAGTCTTTCTGGGAGACTTTTAAAACCTGACAGGCAATGGAACTGTGCCAATAGAACATTCACGCCATTGAGGTTCACTTACAGAAGTTTCCAAATTCAGTGTTTTTCACTGGGTTCCATCTAGATCTGTGGGAGAGTATACTTTTGAGGCAGAAAGGGGATAGGTGAGCAGAGAGATGGCAAAGCCATTATTGCATTTTTAGCTAATGAGATTCATTAAGCAAATTGTAAGAGAAAAGGAAGAAGCCATTGCTCTGAGCAGCACAAAATTGATTTTATTTGTTCTTTTTTCCTCCAGTATGTTATTTTGTAGAGGATTTTGCTTTTGTCGATTGCTCCAGTGCAATCAGCATGAAGCCCATGTACACTCAACTGTTTTGCAGAGGGAGCAAAACTTGAAAGTTATGTAAGCAGATAAAATAAATTTGGCTTCATGGTCTTGAATCTGGTATCTTTCCTTCCTTTTATGTGATAAAAATTAACTGTGAAGTTACTGACTAAGGATTATTTAACTTAGTTTTGTTTTTAAGTTACTTTTCTGAAATACTTTTCTGAAATAATTTTGAATAAAATAAATATTAAGACTGGAAGGACATCTGTTTATAAAAGACTGTTCCTGGAATATTGATGTCAGAAGTATAATAAAGCATAAATAAAACATTTGTTTATAGTTAAGAATATAACTAGTTTCTTTTGCCCAGTTCATTTCTGGGGTGATAGTTAAGAATGTGATACTTTTTGGGAGTTCAGAACTGATCAAAAAAATAAAAGAAATATGGCCATCAAGTTACATTGCTCTATAGTTCCTATCAGTTGTCACTGTTATGTTTTTGTGCAGCAGCTCAGATTTTTCCTTCAAGAATAGAGATTAAGCGTTCTTTCTGCTGAAAAGACTGTCTTGTCTGAAAGGTCTCAACAGCTCTTGACAGAGATTAGACTAGTCATTAGAAACATTACTTTATACGCAATAATGCTCTTTAGCAACTGCTGGAAGGATGGAAGGGTATCTTCCCCCTGTTGTTTTACTCACATGTGTGTAAGAAATGCTGACATTGATCCAGATTTCCCCCAGAGGTTAAATTTTAGCAGCTAATGTAAGGAACTTTGGAAGGTAGGTAGCATTTTAAAATACTACCAGTCTTAACGGTAAAGCTCATCCTTAGATAGTCTTGCTATGCCCTCCAAAGGAAATATTCCAGGGAACTCTTCATAACTAGACATAAATATTTGGACCTGTGGATACTTTTGCAAATTTGGGTGTGGATTGGTACAGGCAATATCAACTCTAATTAGTACAATGAATTATTGTGTGTGCAAAATATTAGTATACTCAATTTATATAATACATTAGACTTATTAGATTATTTTGGTTTTTGAGGAAAAAGTGAAAATGTCTGTATTGGAAGAAGAAATTTTTCTCTGACAAGTTTAGTATGTTTTGAATTATTCAAGAATTTTGGTTTATCTGATGAAATATAATTATTAGAGTTCTCTTAGAGATAAATTACTACTTTATCATTTAAAATGAGATAAAAATGGTACAAAAATATCTGTCTGCTCTTTGCTCAAGTGCTATAAAATTTGTTTATCTACGTATATAGTTTAAATTTCTCGTCTTCACAATCCTTCCAGGATTTTCTTTTAAATAATTTGAATAAAGAAGTCTACAAGCCACTGCTCGTTAACTTTTCAGCACAAACTACAGCAGCTCAGACTCAGAATATTGTAATGTCCAAGCTCGACAAAAGGAGAAGAGGAATTTTTGGACCTCCTCTTGGGAAAAGAATGGTAACTGATACATTTCTGTATGTAACTAAGTGTTTAAATGCAAACAAATATGTAAATGCATTATTTTCTCGGGTCATCACAGGCGATACCAGGAAAGGATGCTGAATTTGAAATACACTGTCCGAGTTCTAATTATTCTAATTTAGTTCCTCGTGTTTCTCTTTTCTCCCTTCTCCCACTAATATGCATCCTGTTTAATCAACAGAAGAAAATGTGATATATGATATGATATGAATAACTGTGAACAGCATCATCATACTTTCCCCTCCATATTTTGTGATATTATCCTTGAGATAAGAGTTCTTGTATGGGTAAGCTTGTTGCTGGTATGAAATCATTGTTGAGAAATCAGCGTTGAGCATGAGGTTGGACTAGATGAACTCCAAGGTTCCTTCCAGCCTGGATAGTTCAGTGATTTTTGAAAGCATTAAAAGACATTTGAATGTTTCATGTTATTATCACTGATGCCTGCCAAACCCTTCAAGATCAATGGAACTCTGAGTACTCAGAAGCTCAAGAAGGATATTAGAGTACATCTCTCTCTATTTTTTTTTTTTCCCCTCTGCAGTGAGCAAATCCTTTTCTCCTCTGTCTAGAAGAGTTGCAGTGAGACTGAAAATTGAAATCTAAGAAATCTAAGGAGTTTCCATTATCTCTTTTTTTTTTTCAACCCAATTAATGAAAAAATTCAGCTTTTAAGGAAATTTAAAAATTATTGTATTTAAAATGTAGTGATAATTATATATGATTTAATACTGGTACTTTTAGGATACCTGCAGATTTTTTGTATTTGCAGACTTGTTTTTTTTCTTATTTTCAGTATTTCTTAGCTATTATTTAATAAATGCTTGTTATCAAGAGCAAAATGTGTTGTTAGAAGTTCCTTAAGGAAGTACCATTTAAAGTTAAAGTGTTTTAAGGTCTTCCTCTGCCTCATCCTCCAAGCTATTAAGATGTATTTTAGCCCACTCTTAAAACTGTAAAGATACTTTGAATAGATAAATTTTGTCTTGATTTGTATTAGTTAGGAACACTTCAAAGAATTTCAGTATGTTGCCCAAATTGCAGTGCTAAATAAGATACAAGGCTAATCATTTCACCTGTTTTTCTTTCAACCAAATTTCTACTCTGTATCAGTTGGAGAGTGACAAAAAGGGGGGATAAAATGCATAAATGTTTTTCTAGAACTTGCATCAGTTGCATTGGGTTAGTTGTGTGAAGGTGTTTCCTGATCCACAGTTGCCTGTATTTAGGCAACAGCAGTCCCGAGAAAGATGTAACATTTAATAGATTTAAAAATAGAACCATGGTCTCACTGAAGTGTGAGATTTTTGTGGGTCTTCCTGACTCCATCTCTTTTTCCAAGAAAAGGCACATAAGTAGAATGGTAAGGTTTAAATAGCAAGTATTAGTTTACTATCTTTCCTCAAATACACTCAGAAATAAGAAGAGAAGGACAGTTTTTCTCTTTTATAGGTATGTTTTGTAATGGCTTTGGAGTGGCACAGTTACTTCTTTAGTTTGATTTTTGTTTAAACTTGGCAGCAATTCCATTAAGAGCTTAGGGCCACTTTTTAAAAACATGTATTTATGTTTATTACTCCCATTAATTTTAGCGGGAGTAAACTGATGTGCAGTGTTTCAAGAATCAAGCAAAATGGTGGCATATATTCAGTAAAATAAATAAATGCAAAATCCTTTGTGTTTTTCTTTATAGGGACAAACTTCTTAGCAGGGCCTGTTGCAATAGGATAAGGGGTAACTAAAAGAGGACAGGTTTAGACTAGATATAAGCAAGAAATTTTTCACAATGAGGGTGGTGAAACACTGGCACAGGTTGCCCAGAGAGCTGGTAGATGCCCCATCCCTGGAAACATTCAAGGTTAGGTTGGGTGGCACACTGAGCAACCTGATCTAGTTGAAGATGTCCCTGCTTATTGCAGGGGTGGTGGATTTTATGAGCTTTAAAGGTCCCTTCCAACTTAAAGTATTTTATGGTTCTATTCTTTTCAGGTTGTATTTGTAGATGATGTTAATATGCCAGCACGAGAGGTCTATGGTGCTCAACCTCCTGTTGAATTGCTACGGCAGTGGTTAGATCACTGGAATTGGTATGACCTTAAAGACTGCTCCATGATTAAACTTGTAGATGTTCAGATTGTGTGTGCAATGGGACCACCAGGTAAGAGATATGTCTCATATGCTTTTTCCAGTTTCTTTTGTTTCCAAAGGCTGAAAGCTTATTGATGCATAGTTTTACAATTTGGGTTTTTATGGCTAGGGATAGGACTCAAGGAACCCTTTCCTTGCAGGAAGCATGAACAGCAGTCATAGTAGGGTGGTTGAGAGACTACACAAGCCTGCTAGGAAGAAATACTGTTTTTCAGGAAGACAAGAATGTCTCTACAGACTATTTATGAAAGCCCTTTGGTCTAATGAGATCCTCCATTGGCCTTTGGTCAATTTTGTTCTTCTTCAAAACTTCTAAATAGCACTAAGTGATGTTCTTAAGCAGATAAACCTTACTGTATTTGGTTTAAAAAAAAGAAATAAAGCATATGATGTAATAAGGTCATTATGTTTCTGACAGCCTGCATACACATTTACCATATGAGCTATTTAGTTAAAAAAAATTATGCCTGGCATATTTTATCAGTTAAAATGAGGAATTAATGTTTCTTTGATGCTGTTGTGTTTGCTTTTAAAGAATCTATACAATCTACGGCAGGAATCATATAACAGAATTTTTTTTCACAGAATTGTTCATAGTCCTGTCTCTAACTAAAAAGTTTGTCAGAGCTGAGAACATTTACAGTATTTAATCAACCTGTGATTGGTACTTTCCTTCTTTTTTCTGCCTCAGCCTCCCTGGACTTTCTTCCTTTCTTTTGTAGACTTGTCTACACACATAAATGCACACATGAACATGCCAATTCTTTGCTGATACTACTTTTGTTTTTGGGATGGTGATGCATGCCTATGGGATAGGGATCCACTGCTTGTTTTACCTATCTGGTTTCCTAAAGAAGCAAAACTGCTTCTTGCAGTTGTTTTAAATTGGAGGCAGTGTTCATCTACAGTTCAAAGTACTTGATCTAAGTATCAGTCTGTGGAATAACTGAGCAGAAGGAAACTGTGAACGAATTTTAAAATTTTACATCTTTTTGTTCGTTTTTGTGGAGTTTGTTTTGGGGCGTTTTGTGCCTTTTCTTTTTTTTTTTTTTTAAACATTAGGAATAGCCAAATCTTGGAGATGCTTTTTCTGTGAAGCATCCCTTCATGCTACGTTACTGTTCCAGAATGATTGTGTAGAAGTGACCTTAAACCGCTGTGAAAATGGATCAGATTTTCCTTTCCCAGGAGACGTGTGTAGTTAATTTTGTTCCAGTACTCTTCTGGTTGAATGCCAAAAAATGGACTGATCAAATGTACAAGTTACGGCCCTAACTATTTGTGTCAAATATAACAGGGAGCTAATTCCAGAACTCACAAAATTATATTCTGCGTTCCAGCCTGCATTTTTTTTTCTTCTAATAAGAAATGAAAATCTGAAATCTGTATGTGAATATAGTGCTATTGAAGCAAATATGAAGCCTTTTAAAGAACGTTTAAAGCTATTTTGTTTAAGTTAGGTTTAAAATTTATATTAGGAAAGAATTACCTTTCGGTTAAAACTCATATTTATGTCTGAATAGCTTGTGTAATTTTGCCATCAGTGCACATGTAAACTTCCAGAAGTATTGTGAACTGCTGTGTCTGAGGGATGAACTCAGTTGAGGTAGAAGGAAGTAGGATGAATAACTGGCCTATTTAGCATAAAATATTGAGATTCCTCAGCAGATCCTAGTAACACGTACGCAGTTAAATATAGACTATCGCTAGTTCTGCTTGCAGTCTCGGGTGGCAGAATGTGAGACAGCTCTGGGCCAGGAGTCTTTTAGTTTCATTAGTGCAGGGTCATGCCTGAGCTACAAAGTCACATGTTTCAAAATACCTTACCAGGCTAATTTGGTTGCCCTTAGCTATGCCCGCTTTTCAGGTACTTTTTTCTGATTTGCTACAGAAGGTTGACCCACTGTGTAGCAGCTTAATCCTGAATTCCAAACCAAAGGAGCAAGTACCCAGTTAATTTATGTTTTACGTCCCCTTATTTCCATACATAACTTCATTGTCCAAATCACAATCAAGTCATAAAAGCTGCTAACTCCAGAACTTGAAATAAAATTCAAATTGAATAAAGTATACAGCATTACTTGTAGACGCTTCTCTCATTGGGATGCTTTGAAAAACAAGAACATGGGTTTGGAGTTTATAATAGTTTTCTACTATAACAGAAGCATAGTTAAAATAGTGTCAAATCTATCTATCTATAACTTGATGATTTCAATCTATTTTTCAATCTACTGGTTACAGGAGAACAGATTAACACTGAACTGCATGTTGCTTTCATTAGGTTTATGACAAGGTGTGGTACTTCTCAATGTGAGCCTGCTAGCTGAATCAAAGACAAATATTAGAAAAAAAACACAGTTTTATTTTTTTCTGTTAGTTATTAATGCTTTCTAATATTTAGGTGGTGGTCGAAACCCAGTAACACCACGATTCTTGCGACACTTTAATACAGTTACTATTAATGAGTTTGATGACAAATCCATGTACACAATTTTTTCTAGAATCTTAGACTGGCATCTAACTGTATGGTAAGTGACCTCTATGTATTGTGAAAAATCAAAGTCGGTGTTTAAATTATAGTACTAGGAAGTCTCTAAGATATGTTTGTAGGACACTGCTCTTGAAAAGAAATTATAATCTTTTATATCCTGTGCCTTTTGAGTTATTCATTACTCCACAGAAGTAGGGCTCATCTTAAAATACTCCAATGGTAAAGTTCTTGTTCTGAAGTCTGTAACAGAGGTTTAGATTAGCTGAGGCTAATTCAGCTAGTTGAGATATTTCTGTAATACAGTATGCTTTGGTATATAATAAATAAGACTAGAATTTGGTTAGTCATTATTCAAAGAATAGAACTGGAAACTGCTTTTAAATATCTTGTGTTTTCAGAAGGCTTACTCTTTCTTTGGCCTTTCACCACTGTATAATTTTTAATTCCTGTATTAGAATGGACTCCAACTTTCATTGCCTATCCATTCTAACAGCTAAGTCCCAAAAGATACTCATGTCCTGTTTCTGGACCAAGTTTGTGATTTGACAGCTTCTGACCCTTTGAGGGAGAGAGGTTCCAAAAGACAGCAAGGGCTATTTGACCTGACTTCCCTGTTGCTGTTGTTAGTTATAAAAATGAGGGGGGGGAAATGGTATAATTAGCTGTGTAACATAGCCAAATTTGTCAGCATGTTCCACAGTTACTGGATTTGATTTCTAGAGTTAATTTGTTAATCCAGTGAGAGAACTAATATTTGTAAAACTGCTTGTGAGGAAGTATAATCATAGAACTTAAAAATTGGCATGAAGTGAATCAGTGTACATATACAATATTATTTATTAATTCACATGCTAGTATGGTGAAATAATGAGAATCATTCTGTTCTTACCACCTTTTATAACTTGTCAGTTATAGCTTTCCATCACAATATGTAGAACTGACTCCACAAATTATTAATGGAACCATGAGTATGTATAAAGCAGCTATGAAGAATCTGCTTCCTACTCCAGCCAAATCTCACTATTTGTTCAATCTCCGTGACTTTTCACGTGTTATTCAAGGTGTTTGCCTGTCAAGGCCTGAAACAACAGAATCAGCA